CTTATTTTAATTATTTGTATTTCGTCTTATGTTCCCCTTTTCCCCCTTTTGAATTGTTCGCCGCCCTGAGTCCTCCCGGAGAAGGGCAGCATACAAATAATAACATTCAATTCAATTCAATTCAGACTCACGGACAATTGCATTTGGAAAAAGCACAGTGCACAGGGTTCAAATTAATATTACCAGAGGACATTTCTATCTTGCACGCATTACACGCTACATACTACTAGCATGTTTTCAAACAATGAATGGGCTTCAGCCCAAGGCGACGTTTAAATTTAAACATTTCTTTCAAATTATGGAAAATCCAAGGAACCTCTTAAGTATAGAATTCTGCAAAATTAAGACTTTGAGAGACTGCGTTTCTGGAGAAAGCAAAGCCTCAAATTCTCTGATAATACTGTATCTTCCTTCCTCCCCATGTTATAATGTAAAACTGGCTATGCTGGTCTTCGATCGTAATAAAGGTTTGATTTGTCTTGTTATGTAACTGGCCATGTCTCTTTCCCCCTACTTTCCTGCAAAAAATATAATTCCTCTAATACTTTTTTGAGATTCTAAATAATTTTACTTCGATGGAATGGACTTGTATGATTTAATGCATACTCGATATGGAATCTAAAATTGTTGCCGATCCCTTGCCAGCCTCAATTATCACCTTTTGTTGTTGTTGTTCAGTTGCTAAGCCATGTCCAACTCTTCCGTGACCCCATAGACTGTAGCATGCCAGGTTCCCTCCCCTCCCCCTCCACTTTCTCCAAAGGTTTGCCCAAATCCATTTTCAAATCACCTGCAAAAAAAAAAGGTCTTGAGAATAATTAAATTCCCAAAGGTGCTTTTCAAAAAACAACTGGGCTTTGTTTGTTTTTCTTGAAGATGTTTCGCTTCTCATGCAAGCTTCTTTCAGTCTTCTTAAGAACCGAAGAAGCTTCTTGGATGAGAAGTGAAACACCTTGAAGGAAAAAAACAAAGGAAGCCCAGTTGCCTTTTGAAAAGCACCTGACCTGGATGAACGAGAATCTCCATAGACATCGAGAATATTGAAGCTTGCTCTGAACACACACTCAATTTTATTGTAAGGGGATGAAGGGGACTAGGTTGCTATGAGTGAGAAGTCTGGAAAGGCAGTGACGGCTAACCTTTTTCTCCTTGCATGCCAAAATTGTGCGCGTGCCCACACCCATAATGCAATGCGACTCGCCCCCCCGTCCATACATGCACAATCCCCCACACTTCCTCAACCACCGTGCATGCCTGCGACCCCCCTCGACCACCATGCATGAATGCGACCCCTGAGCTCCCCTCTGCATGCGTGCGACACCTCCCTGTGCCCCATTTTGGGCCTAACAGGCCTCCCTGAAGCTTCCTGGGACCAAAAATGGGGCACAAGGGAGTTGTGCCATACTCCCTGCGCACGCAACCCCCTCCCCCTGTGCGCGCGTCTCCCACATGTGCAGCAAAGACCCCAAAATCAGCAGGCTGACGGGAGGTGTGCGCACATGCGCAGTGGAGCTGAGATGGACGATGAGCTCCGCGTGCCATCTGTGCCATAGGTTCCCCATCATGGGTCTAAGGCAGTGTTTCTCAA